TCCCAGCTCAGGGTCCCCAATGCGAGCTGAGCCGGGTCACGCCGTGGTCCGGCCACACAAGGACAGACCAGGGACAGGCCAGGCCGAGGCCCTTGAGCGAGGCTGCCCGGGGTGGGGCCGGAGCATTGGTCTTATTTAAGGTGAACAAGTATCCACGCTGAGGGCGGGACAGCGGGCTCCCGGGAACAGCAACATTTAAAAAGGAAAATGAAGACCATAGAGGAAAAAAAGATTTTTTGCGGGGGGGGGGTCTTTGGAAGGTAATTTATCTCATGCTTTTCCTTTTCAACTCTGTGTCGCCTATAACCTTTTCTGATGGAGACCGTTTTCTTCTTCCCCAATGGAAGCTTTCTTGTGTGCCCCCAGCCTAGAGCCGCCTGGCCTGGCGAAACTTGGGGTGGTGGGGGTACGCTCCAGCCCTGGGGGCCCAGCTGCCGGCAGGGAGGCTCAGGAGGGGGGTGGGAGGCAGGAGGAGGCACGGGGCAGGCCCTCCACCCCCACCCGGCCCCTCGCCAGTGACTCGCTCTGCATCACCCACCAGAGGCCAGAGCTCGGTCAGCAGCTGGCTCCCTCCCCAGGCTGTTCCCAGCCGGCTCCTGCCCCCTGGAACTGGAGGCTGCAGGCCCCGGGGCAGGGAAATAGCACATTCAGGAACCGGGGCACCCAGACCCCGCCCACGACCTCAGGAGGCCTCCGTGGGGAGGGGTGGGCAGGGCTGCCCCCGAAGGCACAGAAGGAGGTGAAGCCGCCAACTTCAGCCCAGGAACCAGGTGGGGGGAACAGCTGGGGGTGGGGGACCCCTTTGTCCCCCGTCCAAGGCTGTCCCTTAGTGGAGGGCCCAGCCCGGCCTCAGGGTGGCTGCGATCAGGACTGAGGGGAGCACAGGGCGGCCTCGGGGGTCAGGCAGCCAGGGGCCCCTCCTTCTCTGCTGCAGCTCACACTAAGCAACAGATGAGAAGTTGGAGGCCACGGGGACCTCTCCCCAAGTGTGGCTCTCCGGCCCCCCGGCCCCCGGTGCCCGGCGCGATGACCCCATCACTGTAGAAGACATTTGCTCCTGCTGAGACGCATCACCCCTGCAAACTACCTCTTCCCGCGACGTCTTTCTCCCCTGGTACCAAAAAGAACCCCGTACCTCCTCCTCCTCCTCCCTCCGCCAGCGCAGTGGCCTTGGTCTCGGAAAACCCAAGGGAGAAGGTGCGGCCCCGGGTGGGGCTCTCCTTCCCGCCGGCCGCCTGCGAGTTCGATACTTGAACGCCCCGGCCCTGTGCCTTGGACCTGGGCGAAGCTAAGAGAGGGGACAGCACAACTCAGATTTGAGCTGGGGGAGGGGGGGCGGGGGGTGGTCTTGGCAAGGCTCCTGTCCTCACCCCTCGCCCCCAACCTTAGCAAAGGAGGTGTGAGGCCTCTCGGGGTGACTTGGAAACTCCTGGATGAATTCCATTCTAACTTATTTTGACGTGTATACAAACCAACTGTTTAGAAATCCCACTTGTGCAAAGCCCTACTGTGTTTTTATGTTCCTGTTGGAAAGAGAAGTTTACTTAGCAATAATTATAAATAAATGAATATTCTTTAGTGAGGCGACTGCGGGTGCTTCTTCGCGTGGATCTCGGGGACCTGGTCCTCCCCACTCCCCCCCGGGAGGAACTCCTCACAAAGCTTTGCAGCCCCCCACCAGCTGGTGTGACTCCGTGGTTGAGCGTCAACATATGAACCAGATGGTCAAGGTTCAATTCCAGGCAGGGCACATGCCGGGGTTGTGGGCTCGATCCCCAGTCGGGGGCGTGCAGGAGGCAGCCGAGCAATGATTCTCTCTCATTGATGTTTCTATCTCTTCCTTTCCCTTCCTCCCTGAAATCAGTAAATATATATATATTTTTAAAAAGAAAAGCTTTTGCCGAAACCGGTTTGGCTCAGTGGATAGAGCGTCGGCCTGTGGACTGAAGGGTCCCGGGTTCGATTCCGGTCAAGGGCATGTACCTTGGTTGCGGGCACATCCCCAGTAGGAGGTGTGCAGGAGGCAGCTGATCGATGTTTCTCTCTCATCGATGTTTCTGACTCTCT